TTCACCTGGGAGCTCTGGAATTTGGCTACAGTATTCCTGAGAGTTTTAATTTTGGGATCTCTTTCAGGAGGTGGTCAGTAGATTCTTTCAATTTCTATCTTACCCTTTAAATATAAGATATTGGGGTAGTTTTCCTTGATAATTTCTTGAAATATGATGTCTAAGCTCTGTCTTTCAGTAGTCAGTGATTCTTAAATTATCTTTCCTTGATCTGTTTTCCAGGTCAGTTGTTTTTTGATGAGATATTTCACATTTTCTTCTTTTTTTTTCTTTTGACTTTGTTTCTTGATGTCTCATGGAGACTTTAGCTTCCACTTGCCTAATTCTAATTTTTAAGAAATTATTTTCTTCAGTGAGATTTTGTACCTCTTTTCTCATTTAGCTAATTTTGCTTTTCAGAGGTCTTTTCTGCAATGAATTTTTGTGTGTCTTTTACCATTAGGCTGATTTTTTTCAAGGTGCTATTTTCTCTTTAGTATTTTTTGTCCCACTTTTAGCAAACTGTTCATTCTCTTTTCATAATTTTCTTGCAGCATTCTCATTTCTTTTCCTAATTTTTCTTCTGTCACCCTTAGCTCTTTCTTTAACTCTTCTGGAAATTCTTGTTGGACTTGGGTCCAGTTAGCATTTTTCTTTGAGGCTCTGTTTGTAGCTGTTTTCACATTGTCTTCTTCTGAGTCCATGTCTTGGTCTTTGCTGCCACTATTGTAGCTTTTTATGGTCAAATTCTCTTTTTGTTGTTTGCTTTTTTTTCTTAGTCTGTTTCTTGACTTTGAACTTTATGTTAAAGTTGGACTCTGTTCATCTCGGGGTAGGATGGTTCTATTCCTAGCTTTAGGCTTTTTTGTGCTATTGTTTTCAGAGATAGTTCTGGGGGTCTGCTGCAAGTTTTTGGTGTTTCCTAGGTGGTGTGATCCTGGGAGAGGTTATTGCTCTCTCTCTCATATTAACCCAGGTTCCTTGTCCCTTGCAGCTGACATTGAAAAGAGTTTGAGAGATATAGTTTCTGGGTAATTTAATCATTTTATTAATAAGTCCAGCAGGTTATTAATGAAAGGATGGTCATTTGGCTTTCTCTGTCAGACCAAAAACAATCATGGAGGTAGATTCAGTTTATATACCCTTCAAAACAGTAGGTGGTCCATCAAACAGGCCATCAAATCTAATTGGCTAACTGATTGGAGGTGGGCTATATTAAAATGAAGGGCTGAGTATCTCCTGGATAGGGAAAGTATCTCTATACCAGACCACCTATAGCTTTAAGCTGTCATGTCAAAGAAGGTATACCCCACCCATACCTGAGCAGAACACAGTGGGCTTCCCTGCCCCAGGTAAAATTCCCTGTAAAGTTGGGTGGGGTCTAACCAAGAGGAAGAGAGTCAATGTAGTCTCATTATCAGTAATGTCTTTTGGACTGAACTTTTAAAGAACTTTAGAAAAGGGGAGAACTCCTACTCTCCCTCCAAGTTATTGATTGTTAATAATCATTTCTCACAACAGGAAATTTTTCCCAACCCCTCTTAATTCTAGTGCCTTCTCTCTCTTAACTTTTCCTATTTATTTTGAATATACTTTGTTTATACAAATTTGTTTGCTTGTTATCTCCCCTGTTATTTTGTGAGCTTCTTGAGGGCAAGTACTGTCTTTAGCCTCTTATTGTTTCTCCAGTGCTTAGTACAAGTGCCTGACACATAGTTGGCACTTAATAAATGTTTATTGGCTATTGTAATACCCTGCTAAATGGTCTTCCTATTTCTAGTCTCTTCTTCCTTCCAATTTATTTTACATGATTCCATTCATATTAGTCTTCCTTAAAGCATCATGTTAAATTGTGTTATTCCTCTTTTCAAAAGCCTTCATTGTCCACCAAATGCCTAATCAATTCTGTTCAATTCAATAAATATTACAAATTACAAATATTACTATATACAGTGTATTATACTAGATTCCGAGGATGTAAAAATAAGACAATACGCAGTTCCCACCTTCAAAGATTTTACAATTTTAGAAGAGAGATAATACAAATATACTCTAAGTTGTATTATAGTTTTTTGTGCAAAGGCATGAGGGAGATCTAAAATAAAGCGATATGAGAAATTTTGAGATGGATGAGTTTATTTGTTGTTGGGGAAGGAGGAAATTAGGGAAGGATGGAGGTAGGAGGTAACACCTAAACTGGGCCTTGAAGAAAGGAAAGTGTCTCAAGACCATTCCAGGGAGGAGAGCCTAGAAGTAAAAAAAAAAAAACCAAATAAGGAGCAGGCTGGGTTGTGTGGGATATGGAGAACATGAAGGGAAGTGGTATTCAGGAGTAAGAACAGAAAGGTAGATCAGGGGCCCTTGTGGAGGACTTAAATGTCAACTTTTTAGTTTGTAAATAATGTGGAACTACAGAGTGCTTTTGAATAGGGAATGATGAGGGCAGTCCCAGTATACTAGGAAAGTTTTTGTGGCAAATGTATAAAGCTAGAGTGCTGGAATCCTCAGGCAATCTGATGAAACCTTTGGCCCCTTTTTCAGATAATGTTTTTAAATGAACATAATAAGATATGTAGGATTGCAAAGGAAACCAATTATATGGAGATTACAGTTTTGAAAAAAAAAATTTAAATTCATGAACCCCAGGTACAAAAGATGAGTTGAAAAAAAGAATGACAGGAAGACCAATTCAGAGCCTTTTACCATAGTCTGAAAGGTGAATAATGAATATTTCACTTAGAAGTTATAACAATTGTGTTAAGTCAACAAGCTTTTATTAAACACCTACTATTCATGAGGTGCAAGGTCACCAGACTGTTGAAGTACAAGGGGTGTGTGTGTGTGTGTGTGTGTGTGTGTGTGTGTGTGTGTGTGTGTGTGTGTGTGTGTGTGGTGGTGGTGGTGGTGGTGGTGGTGATAGTGTTGTCGTCACCTTGAAAGAATTTGCTCAGGCTGTCTCCAAATCAAGTAAAGGAATTTATTCCAGGTAACACACCAAGCAGGCTCCTCCTTAAGGGAGGTAGCAGCCCTTCAAAGCAGGCAGCCCCCTAAAGGAGGCAGCTGCTTAAGGGAGATGGCCAGTAGCCAGGAAAAGCTAGGGATTCCCATAGAGGAAATGTGCCCTGTGGGCAGGGAGATAAGGTAATCAGGGATATCTGGGCAAGGGGTGGTAGCTCAGAGTTTTGATTCCATTGTCCAGCCCATTTGCCCAGAGCAGAGGGCACATGTTAATCTCATCATCACTATGTGTCCCTCCTCCCCCCCATACAAAGAAAGGCACAAACATTCATTCCCTGCTGTCAAGGAGCTCATTATCAAATGGGAAAAGCAACATGTAAACAACTATATGCAAACAAGATATAAACAGCATAATTTGGAGATATCCTGAAAAATGAAAGCGCTAAGATTAAGGGGGCCCAGGAAAGCCTTTTTGCAGAATGTGGGATTTTATCTGAGACTTGAAAGAAGCCGGGGAAGCAAGGAGGAGGAGATGAGCCTTATCTCCTAGCCAGTTTTATCTCCCACTGTTTCTGGAATAGCCTCATTTTCTTGCCTCCATACCTTTATTCATGCTGGAATACTTGATTCACACATCTGCCTATCAAACTCCTACCCATTGTTCCAGAACCAGCTCAGAGAATCATCCAAAGAACACTTTTGTGATTACAGAAGGGGAGAAAGTGATCTCTTATCAGAACACCCTTAGGCCTTTGTTTGTACAATTAATGATACCTTCCCCTCTATTCCCAATAGAATATAAACTCAGGGTCTAGGACCAGCTTTATTTTTGCCTTTGTATTTTTTTTTTTTAGGCAATTGGGGTTAAGTGACTTGCCCAGGGTCACACACAGCTAGTAAGTGTCAAGTGTTTGGTCTGAGGCTGAATTTGAACTCACGTCCTCCTGACTTCAGGGCTAGTGCTCTATCCACTGTGCTACCTAGCTGCCCCCTTTGCCTTTGTATTTTTAACCACCTACTTTAAGTGCCTTGTACTTATTTGGTCCATCTTACTTGAATTGTCTTTTAGGTATGTGTGTGTGTGTGTATGTGTGTACATACATATATATGTGTGTGTATATATATACATATATATATATATATATAATATATATATATATATATATACGTCCCTGTTTAATCTCTTCTATTGAAAATAAACACCTTGAGGGCAGGGGCTATGTGTTAATGCATCTTTGATTCTCCCTATCCCCCAAGCAATGGGTGTCCAATAAGTACCAGATGAATTAATTTAGATGGTTTTAATGCTGTGTTGGATTAATAGAAAAAGTGATGGTAATTATGTATATTTAGAGGAATGTTTGGATTTTGAAAGGAAGTATTTCCTACCAGACTCCTATGAAGTAGTCACTGCTTCCAAAAATAGGAGATAGACAGTTTGGCTATGTAAAAAAGGCTGGCTTCAGCATCTAATCTACCTGGGTTCAAGTGCCATCTCTGACGCATACTAGTTGGGTGACCCTGGACACGACACCTAACTTCTCAATGACCCTAAGCAACTCTCCAGTACTATAAATTGCATATATGTGTTGGTAGAGAGAGATTCTTCACTAGGTGCTCCTTACAATAATGACATCACAGGCCTAAACACTCCCCCCATGCCAAAAGTAGGAGATTATGACAACTGTCTAGTTTTATTCTCATTCTTCTTTTAAAATAGGCAAAGGAGACAGTTCAAGACTGCATGCAAAAGATAGCCATGAAGAAGCTAGCCAGTGTCATTTTTAGTTCCTTTATTTTTGTTATGGTACATTTTGGAAACAGATTAAATTTGGTTTATTTCTGTCACATTTATAAAATGCTTATTCAGATAGACTGTGAAAACTTAACTTGCGACGGATCCAGAGGACTTTCAAAGAGAAAACTTGTAAGAAGTTAACATTTCCTCTAAAAGCTTTGGGTTTTATTTTCAGAAGGTCCCTGAAATTGTTTTTTTTTAATCATAATTAATTGGGATAAGGACTGCTATATTATCTTCTAACATTGCTCCTTCTTTCTTATAGCTGAAAGAGGCTGAGAAAGCTACACCGTGACACAGCAGTCTCAGAGGGATTCCTACTCCTTTACAACCCTGGAGAGACAAGGAAAATTAACTAAAGCATTTTTCATAACAATGATTTTGTTTACAAAATGCTTTCCCTTTTATTTATGAACTGTTTTGAAGAAACCACTTAAAAGAAATGGGGAGTGATTGTGAATAAATTAAAATGTCTTTAAAGGACTGATGCTCCAGAAATATATCAGCAGGCTCAGACACGTCTGACATAAAGAGATTTCTATTTCTGTTTGACTTGTGGAACTTAGTTTGAACCAAACACTGAGCTACAGATTGCCTGGAGAAGACCTTTTTCCTCATAAGTTTGCTAGCCTGATTACAATTTTCCTTTTAGTAGACTCAAGTAACTTAAATTAGATATTTTGATATTAATCTTTTGGAGTATCTCTTTGACTACTTGGATATTTTAGGTGTTTGCCAGGTTTTTGCATTTGTGGTGGGACAGACTGCATCAGATTGTGTCACACTGGAAAACATTTAAGGAAACAGGTAAAAGGAAGCAAAAGAAGAAATCTCTTCAGAAATCCTGGATGAGATGGCAGAGGCTTCAGTGGGTCCCTTATCTCTCCCTGTAACAAGGAAAAAGAAAAGTTTGTCTATTGAAGAAAAGATTGACATCATAAATGCAGTAGAAAGTGGTAAGAAAAAAGCAGAGATTGCAGCCAAATATGGAATAAAGAAAAATTCACTCTCTTCAATTATGAAGAATAAAGACAAGGTTCTAGAAGCCTTTAAATCTTTAAGATTTGATCCCAAAAGAAAAAGACTCAGAACTGCTTTTTACACAGATCTTGAGGACGCATTAATGAGGTGGTATCGAATCGCCCAGTGTCTAAATGTACCAGTTAATGGTCCAATGTTGCGTCTCAAAGCTAATGATTTTGCTCAGAAACTGGGACATAGTGATTTTAAGTGCAGTAATGGTTGGCTAGACCGCTTTAAATCAAGATATGGTTTAGTATTTAGATCTCAGCCAGTAGAAACTGCAGCAGCTTCAGGAGATGCTGCGACTCTCTGGTCCCAAAATGTGCTTCTATATTATTTAAATGATTATCACCCCAAGGATATATTTAACATAAAAGAGACTGGATTGCTCTATCGAATGTTGCCTACTAATACTTTTGCATTTAAGGGGGAAGCATGTTCAATTGGAAAACTAAGTAAAGAAAGGATAACTCTAGTGGTCGGGGCAAATATGGATGGTTCTGAAAAGCTTCCTTTGCTTGTTATTGGGAAAAATAAAAACCCACATTGTTTTAAAAATGTAAAGTCATTGCCTGTAGATTATGAAGCAAACAGAATGGCATGGATGACTTCAGAAATCTTTGAACTATGGATGCAAAAGCTTGATGAAAAATTTCAAGCCCAGAAACGCCGAGTTGTGGTTTTTCTTGATTCTTTACCAGCACATCCAGAAGTTAAGATTCTAAAGTCCACTCAACTAGTTTTTTTCCCTTCATCTTTATCTTCTGAATTTGCAGCTATGAAACAAGGTGTTATTAAAAACCTTAAGATCAAATACCGATTCTGTCTTGTCAAGAAATTTTTAGATTCTGTTGAAAGCAGCAAAGAATTTACTTTCTCTCTGCTAGATGCGGTTGATATGTTGCATCTGTGTTGGAGGACTGTAACCCCAGAGACTATTGTCAAGAGCTATGAAAAGGCAGGATTCAAATCACAACATGGAAAAAATGGAAAGACAAATATGGAGACTGAAAATGGCCTAGATGTAGTTACTCATGCCCTAGCTGCAGGAGTAGAATTTCCCGAAGGTTTATCTCTGGAAGAATATGCATCCCTGGATGAAGACTTGGTGACATGTGAAACAGTGTCAGATAGTGAGGTGATATGGACCAAAGAGGGTAAAACAAATGAAACTGACTGCTATACTTTGGATGAAGAGGATGAAGATGGATCTCCAGAAACCGAACTACCTTTGCCATCAAAAAAGGAGGCAGTGACTGCTTTAGAAACTCTTAAGAAATTTCTGAGAAGTCAAGAAATCAATGGCACACTTCATGATTCTTTAGCAGATCTTGAAAATTTTATTCAAGGTTTATCAATTAAATAATTATCCAATGTAAGTTATCTAAAGAATAACAGATTTTTCCTAATTTCATATTAAAATTTAAGGAGCATAAATGGAAAGTGTAGTTAGCTAGGTAAAAACAAAAATGAAAATCAGATCATCTTGGTAACTTATAATTTAAATGCAAAAGCCTTTCCTCTGAGTTACAAAGCCACATAGATAAAGTGAATTTAAAAATGCCAATTAAGTGTGATGATTAAGTAAATGAAAAACTTAAATTTCTACCAAGCAAAATAGGTTTGAGATATTTTCCCTAGTCTCTTTACTTAGGAAATATGGCTTACATCCCCTCAGATATGGATAACTTGGACTCACAGCTCCTTACAGATTGAATTGATGTCATTTTCTGCTTCTTTTCAGAAGTGTAGATTAAGTTCCTGACTGTTTAAACTCATCTCTGTTGAGGAATCAATAACTGAGGTGAACAAAAGCCCATCTTCAAAACATCTTATTTCAGAGGCATGAACAAAAATGACTCAGAGTGTGTATTGTAGAAGAGATGAATATTATAGATGAGTAAGTTCTTATAGTAATATGTGTGTTATAATAGAATTTCTATGAAGAAGGAAAGTTTGCCTTAGTTACAGACCTCTTCAGATAGTTTAATAAGACTCGGGTAGTTTCTTTTGCTTACCATGAAGCCTAATTTTTTTTCCTTTGGAACTTCTGATATATATATATATATATATTTTAAATAAATAGGAAAAGCAGCAATTCATTTTCTTGTGAAAATATAATATACAAAGTGAGTACAACTTTGTACTATTATATACATACACACACACACATACACACATACATTACATAACTTAAAGGGTCATTTGTAAATAAAGGGTCAGATGAAGGAATGAGACTCCACAATGTCTTTTTTTTTATCTATAACTTGTAGTTGAGGTAGATCTTTCCAAACTGCTTTTTATCTATATTAAGTACAAATACAGTAAGGTTGTGCAGTGTCTGCATTAGAAATTATGCCAGATTCTTATGGAATTTATTATGCTAAGTGATACAGCTTTCATCAGTGCTAAAATTTGTAAAATATATATGACATGAACATTTTTATTTATAAAAGGGAAGCTCACACATGCTATTAAATATTTCTCTAATTTTGCCAACACTTGCTTTTTTAGTCTAAACAATTTATTTTTTTTGTTTTGATGAAAAATGTATTTTAAAAAAATATTTGAATATCTTGTTAGCCATATTTTTGTTGTGACTTTTATATGCAGATATTAAACACATTTGTTTAAATTTTCCTTTGGAACAGTGGTATTCACACTGATTACTTTTATTGTATTAAAGGATATTGTATCTATTCATAAAAGATGGTCTTAAAAGTACATGATAAAGTAATAGAATAATATAACTCACTGTGCTTCCAAAATTCTGGTTGAATTTTGTTGACTCTTACTGTGTATTGCAATATTTTTCATTGTTTACTTTAAAAATTTATCCTTGCCTAGCTGGTCAGTATACATGATGGTAGTTTGCAGTACTCTGTCCAAAAAAGTGGAAGTTTATGTTTAGAATCTTTTATTCTGCCCGTTAAAGTCTGACTGAAGGAAATAAACTGACTTTGTGCAATATTGATTTGTTATTCTTTCAACATTCAGTAGTCCAGCCTTACCTTAATAGGATTAAAAAGGAATCTTTTCTTTAAATGGGAAAAATCAGTAATTTATATTTCTTAAAGATTTTTACCAATGACTTTAAAACTTTAAACATTCACATTTGGATCTGGTACTGTTCATCACTTTGTGGCAACACAGATCCACTAAGTGTCATAATGGATTCTTAAGTAGTCATACACTGTCTTGTCCTAGCCTGCCAGTCAGCTTTCTGTGGCCCTGTGGGAGCCAGTCTGAAAATCAGAAAAATATTCTTTATTTTATTTGTGTATTCAGTTCAACAACTATTTATTAAGGTGCTGAGAATAGAAATATTGGAAGGGGAAAAGTCCCTGTGCTCAAAGATCTTATATTCTCATGGAATTGAAAGGGACATTATGATGACAGGTAATCCACCTGATGATATTATTCTAGACTATTCAATATAATTCTGTTTTTATTGTCTTTATTGTAACTCACACAATAAAGCAATACCTGTTTTAAGTTTTACTCCAACTTCTGAAGGTTCATCCTTGTTTTCCTGGAGTAGAAATCCATAATTGTAAGACGTTATAAAATAAGATACGAATATTATTAAATGAAGGGCAGCTAGGTGGCACAGTAGGGCAGGAAGGTGGTGCAGTGGCTAGAGTGCTGGGCCTGGAGTCAGGAATTCTCCTCTTCCTAAATTCAAATCCAGCCTCAGGCCCTTACTAGCAGTGTGACCCTAGGAAGTCACTTAACCCTGTTTGCCTCAGTTTCCTCACCTGTGCAATGATGTGGAGAATGAAATGGCAAACCAGTATTTTTGCCAAGAAAACCCCACATGGGGTCATGAGGAGTCAGACACAACTGAAAAAAGACTGAATAACAACAGTGGTAAAATGAGAGCTTGAGAGAATGACTAAAGCTTTAAAACCCTGAGGTTTTGTGATATAGTAGAAAAAAGCACTGGACTAGCTTCAAAGCCTGCTTTGCCATTTACCTCTTGTGATATGTCATTAACCCTTCTGGGTTTCTGCTGTATAAGGAAAGGGTTAAGCTAGATAATATCTAAGGTCCCTTCCAATTCTGAATCCTATGATAAACCAAAAAGGTTTAATGTTCTGCATGATCCTGTGGGGTTTAGTAGATGTGTCACAGAATCTGAAAATTGGAAGGGAGCTCAGAGACCATCTAGGCCAACTTCTACTTGATTCAAAATTCTCCTTAGACCTTCCCCCAACTAGGCATAGTGGGGGCGTACACCATAGTCAGGAAGTTGGAGGGTTTTGTTTTTAAGCAAAATGTCACCTTGACTTATATTGAGCTTACCAAAATCTCATGTTGAGACCACCAAAAAAAAAAAGCCCAGATCTTTTCCACAAAATTTCTTATCTAACAATTTGTCATCTGTCTCTCCCTCTTTTCCTCTCTCTCTCTCTCTCTCTCTCTCTCTCTCTCTCTCTCTCTCTCTCTATATATATATATATATATATATATATATATATATATATATATATATATATACTTGTAATGTATATGTGTGTGTGTAACTATATCTAGCTATCCTAAGTTTATGGTTACATTTATCTTTGTTAAATTTCTTCATAGATTTAGTCCATTGTTCTAGATTAAAAGACCATTTTGGATCTTGATTCTGTCACATAATGAGCTGAATATCCTTTTGAGCTTTGTGTCATTTAAAGATCTGGAAACTACACCCTCTGTGCCTTTACTAAAGTAATGGACAAAAATGTTGAACAGCAAAACATTAAAAGCAGGTCTCCAGGGAATGGCTCTTCTTCTTGAGCTTCATTATTCTTTTTATTTGCTCCTCCAACTATCAGCAGCAATTTCTTTAGAAATCTGAAAACTAACATTAGTAGCTGGCTCATTCTCTGAGTTTGCTTTCTTGAAAAACCATTGATCCCTACTGAGATATTTCAACAATTTGGACGCTTTAATTTGTTTTTCATTGGTGTCTGATTTACTTAAGTCAGTATGTTTTGATTTGAAATGGTGACTAAGATTGTATCCCTTAGAACAGCTATTACTTCTCGGCAAACAAGGCACAATATTTTGTCTCTTGTGTAAGTAATCGAGTATCTATTTGTCCACTCCAGATGAAACATTCTACATTCTGATTTGATCTTCCATTTCTTTTTATCACCCATTTTACAAAGTTGCCTCAAAAACTTTAATGTTAGGACCAAAAAGTCTCTACACCAATTGCTGACATACAAAGAAATCCTGAACTGCGTGTCTGACCTTGGGAGAGCGCCAGGCACTCATGTAACTTGGAGGGTGGCTATGCAGTAAGGGAGGGGAAGGAGCCCTCATGTAGTTGCTACTTATTGTATAGCAGGTGTGTTGGCAAATGGCTGCACTCACTTTGTCCCTATTCAACGCCAGTAACTACTGAAAACACAGCAAAAAGATAGGACTCTCACTCCTTTCAGACTAGAGACAAACTGACCATGGTTGGTTGCTGCAGGTCACATGACAAACAGGAGAGAGTGGCAACCCACCCCACAAGTTGCACGATGGGCACAGTAGTGACTAGTGGAAGGCAGGTTAAGCAGGGCATGGTCAAAGCACTCGTTATATCTTTACTTTCTTTTACATCCTCTACATTTTTTGCCAGCCACCTGAAATCCTTTGGTGGTACTTAAATGGCCCAAGGGCCATAATGTCGTGCAGGTCTGTCTTAGATCCTTGCATTACTGAGATAAGTCTATCGAAGTTGGTCATCTTACAATGTGGCTGTTACTGTGTATGATGTCCTCTTGGTTCTGCTCACTCCACTCAGCATCAGTTCATGCAAGTCATTCCAGGTTTTTCTGAAATCTGCCTGCTCATCATTTCTTATGGAACAATAGTATTCCAGTACATTCATATACCACAACTTGTTCAGCCATTCCCCAGTTGATGGGCATCTCCTAAATTTCTAATTCTTGGCCACCACAAAAAGGGCTGCTATAAATATTTTTGTACGTGTGGGTCCTTTTCCCATTTTTATGATTTCTTCAGGATACAGCCCTAGAAGTGGTATTGCTGGATCAACAGGTCTGCACATTTTTATAGCCCTTTGGGCATAGTGACAAATTGCCCTCCAGAATGGCTGGATCAGTTCGCAACCCCACTAACAATGCATTAGTGTTCTAATTTTCCCACATCTTCTCCAACATTTATCATTTTCCTGTTTTGTCCTGTTAGCCAATCTGATAGGTGTGATGTGGTACCTCAAAGTTGTTTTAATTTGCATTTCTCTAATCAATAGTGATTTAGAACATTTTTTTTCATATGCCTATAGAAAGCTTTAATTTCTTCATCTGAAAACTGCCTGTTCATATCCTTTGACCATTTATCAATTGGGGAATGACTTGTATTCTTATAAATTTGACTCTGGAGAACTCTTCAAAGGGAGAAAAAGGACTTTCAGAAGCCAAGAACTATGATGTACACCTTTACCATATGTCTTGCCCATGTATACATGGGCCTCACTACAACTTTAGTATAAGTTTAAGCTTGCTATCTCTAGGTAACTTATGTGTGTGAGGGGTGAGCACCTCTGATTTAAGAGAAATATTTTGTACTAGCCGGTTTTTACTATACGTGTATGATAAATGTCTTTTAGCAAAAGCTAATTGAGACTAATTGCTTATTATCAATGGAAAGCACACCAGTGGGGTATGTGAGCAAGAGCAGTAGAAATGAAGCCCCTTAGGTCTCCCTGCTAGTACACTGAGAATGGTATTAGTCAACCAACCTGGGGACCCTTTCCTCTGGGGCCCTCTATAGGTCTTTTGTTTCTGTCCTTGATCTCTTTGAAGTATATAAACAGCAGCAGGACTGCTGGGTCAAAGGGCATGGATCTATATACGCCTATCTTCTACACTTCTTTTTGATGTCTTTCCATAAATCCTTTTTACAGGACCAGTTTAATAATTTTTCTTGCATAAATCTTTTCAAAGTGCTTTTAATCTGTTTTGTGGATCACCTTGGCTAAAAGTTCATCTAGTGGCCAGTTTTCTGGGGATAAGCCTATCCGTGCTTTCGTAGTTCTCATTTATACTCAGAGCATTTCCGGTGTGGGAGAACATGCTAGATAGTTAAGCTTCTTTTTCTTTTTTTTTTAAGGCAATTGGGGTTTAGTAACTTGCCCAGGGTCACACAGCTAGTAAGTGTAAAGTGTTTGGTCTGAGGCCAGATTTGAACTCTGGTTTTCCTGACTCCAGGCCCCATGCTCTATCCACTGCGCCACCTAGCTGCCCCAATAGTTAACCTTCTTCATGAGAAAGTGAGACTGGGGGGAAAATGGCAAAATTCACCAATGTAGCAAATAAAAGTTTAGATGACCATATGAAAACATTTCCAACTCACTAATAACAAGAGAAATGCACAATTAAACAACTGAAGTTTCATTTCATACTATGCTAATTCATCAACAAAGACCAAAAAATGGCAATAATCAATGTTGGAGGGGCTGTAGGAAGATAAACACTAATGAATACATTGTTGGTGGCAGTCAGAATTGTCCCAATTTTCCTGTTCGTGAAACTGATTTTTTTTATGTGCATATGTATTGACAGTTATCTCCATTAAATACAATCTTATTAGTTTCAGCCCAATGTTCCAAGCCAATGATGCCAAACTCAAGTAGAAATAGATCCCTAAAACCACAAACTAACATTATCTATGTTGCATTGTATTTTTATTTATTTTGTTAAACATTTCCAGATTACATTTTAATCTGATTCCTGTAGTGCAGAATAGTTTTCTTCGAGTTTGACACCTCTGTTCTAGGTTATTGAGGTCTTTTTGGATGGAGAATCTGTCATCCAGAGTGTTAGCTATCCCTCCCATGTTTGATTCATTTGACAATTTGATACGCAAGCCATCTATTCTTTTATCTAAATTATTATTAAAACATTAAATGGTTCATTATCAAGCAAAGCTCCCTGACTCATTCTCTTAGAGACCTTC